TATATATATATATATATATATATATATATATATATATATGGAAAAAGTTAAAGTATGCAGCCTAGCTTAGATAAGCTAAATGCGCCAACGACTCAGATTAAATCTTGGTCGATCTGACGATCACGGATGTCTGGTAGTGTTTGAATTTTAATTTTTTTCTACAAATCTAAATCACTTGAAATTTTAAGTGTTTGTTCTTCTCATCAAGGCGCACTTAATAAAAAAATAAAAAAATTATCTGCAAAAAAATAATCGATCAAAATACCCCTGCAACTTTACAGGGGTATTTTGGTCAATTTTTTCATGTAAAATATTTTTTTAATATTTTTCGAATATTCATCTATTTTTGATGAACACACGCCTAAAATTTCAAGTGATTTGGATTTGTAGAAAAAAATTAAAATTCAAACACTACCGGACATCCGTGATCGTCAGATCGGCCCAGATTCAATCTGGGCCGTTGTTGCATTTAGCTTATCTAAGCTAGGCTGCGCACCCTATCTTTTTATATATATATATATATAGGAAAAGTCTTCCGAACTTCAATAGGCAAAAATAAACAGTGATTTCACCTACCCTCATCACCGTCAAAAGTTCATTGTACAGTCACGATTATCCAACAGTGTTTCATTTTTCATTTTTTTTCTACTAATCGGATTGATCTGAAATTTGGAGCATGTGTACATCTTAGTGAGGCGCACCTAATAAAAATATTAAAAAAATAATTAGCAAAAAGAAAATTGACAAAAATACCTTCGAAAATTTTCAGAGGTATTTTGGTCAATTGTTTTCATATAAAATATTTTTTTGATTTTTTTCGTAGATCCGCTTATTTTTTATGAACACGCTCCAAATTTCAGGTCATTTTGATTTATAGAAAAAAAAATGAAAAATGAAACACAATCGGACAATCGTGACCGTGCGATGAACTTTAGACGGTGATGTTCATTTTCGCCTTTTGTAGTATCTTCCATATATATATAAGAAAACACTACGCAACGCCTATAGGTAAAAATGAACAGTGATTTTGCCTATGCTCATCACCGTCCAAAGTTGATCACACGTTCACAGTTGTCCGGTAGTGTTTCATTTTTCATTTTTTTCTACAAATTGAAATGATCTGAAATTTGGAGTGTCTATTCATCAAAAATAAGAGAATCTAATAAAAATATAAAAAATAATTTGTAAAATATATTTCTGTCAATTTATATTTTTCGAATTATTTTTTTTATATTTTTATTAGGTGCGCCTCACTAAGATGTACACATAATCCAAATTTCAGATCATTCTGATTTCTAAAAAAAATGAAAATTAAACACTACTGGATAATCGTGACCGTGCGATGAACTTTGGACAGTGATAAGCATAGGCAAAATCATTGTTCATTTTCGGCTATAAGCGTTGGGAAGACTTTCCATATATATGTGCTAAAAGTTTATATAAGGTTGCGACCGTAAAATGTAGAATTACAGATGCACCTCAAAAATCTATCGGAAAAGGTTATTTTAGTGTTGAAAAATCCTCTAATTGATCATCTCAACATCGAGATTAACGAATATGAAAACAATCAAAGATTCTAATTTTCAGAAATAGTGCATCTTGCGACATATTATCTGGACCGTCCATTTTCAAGATTTTCATATGTTTATAGATCTATTTGATTTTAACCATTTTTAGAGTTTAAAATTTAATAATTAGATGCAAAAGTAGATTTTCAGATAATCATAAGAATTTTTTACATCAAATTTATATGTTATGATAAAATTTGGAGCCGCGCCGTGTGTGTGTGCGTGCGTAAAGGACGAATTTCTGTAGCATTTGCTCATGGTGTCTTTATGTATATAAATGGTGCAGTTTATATGAGGTTGCAAACTTTCTTGTAGAAGTAAGGTTGTAGTAATCTGCACCTTCCATTTTAGTTGCGTGGGTATATATTTGGTACATCTTTTAAGGTAGTGTTAGAAATTGACATGTCTTTGAAGATAGATACGAATCTACACCGTCTAAGTAAAATGGACAGTGTAGATTAATGTGACATTACATCTACAAGTATGGTTGCAATCTTATATAAAATCATTTGGAGTTTCAGCAGGGAGAAAAAGAGTGGATTTAAACCTAACATCTTTATGCCAAAAAATTGGATTTTACAGGATATGAACTCAATTTGCTCTAATGGAAGCAGAATTGCCAGATGTATGAAAGAATGCTCCATTTTCCAGAAGAGGTACAAGGAAGCTATAAACTCCACTCTTCTAGCCAAGTGCTTACACCATAGACTGTGGGACACTAGCCCTTACTGTCTGAAACAGTTAGTCGGCATCGGCATGGTTACTGCAAAGGTTCATGCACTGTTAAATAAGCCCTTTCTACTAGTAATCATATAATTTTGACTCAAATTGTTGTCTTACTTATTTATAAATCCGCTTTCTACATGATGCGTATTGGACTTTTGGCATTCAGGCATTGCTCTCAGCGGGGATCAATTCATTTGATATGTTGGAGAATGCTGACCCAAGGAGGATTGAAATAATCAGTGGTCGGAAATATCCCTTTGGTAACCATGTCAAGGACTCCTTGCAGTTATTACCCCCAAAGGTAGAGATAAGGATTCAGGAAGTTCAAAGCAGAAGGCAAGGAAATATAAAGGTTATGGTTACATTAACAAGGACTTCACCATCAATTGCATCAATGAAGCGACACTATGCTGACATGGCAAGTATTGTCAGGAGCTTTTGTCAAATTCGATCAGAACTCAGATTTGGCCCTTAGAGGAAACTGTTATAAAACAGCGGACAACCTGTTGGCCTTTATACCCTGGATCTTGATTTTTTATTTTTAATATTCACCCGCATGCATGGGGACACACACACTTCTCTCTAGACACACTAATACGAACATATTATATTATATGAGTATGTTTTATTTTTATTTATCGGCTCGTTTTTTAATGGTAAGAATTGTAAGTCCCTACTTAGAATGCACCCAGCATTTTGGATTTTCAATATTTGGTTTATAGGATTCATATGTATGATCTTTTACAGGTCGTGGGTTCAGAAGAAGAGGACCTTATCCTCTTTCATGAGAAAATGAGGTGAAAATGTATCTCCTGATCTTGTTTAAAAATGTCTCCTATTTATCTCATTTACTCATATGCTTCTTTGGTTTCATTGCCCTCGGCAGAATGGATGTGTTTTCCAGGTACTTATGTGAATCTTTACTGGTTCTGTAATTTTGAATCCTAAGAGGTTTTATGTTTTGAAAATTTTTATTTTCACGAAGCTGAGACTTAAAAGATAACAAAATACTATCAGATGTCCAACTGCTCCTACGATAAGAAAAAACTGAAGTAAAACGAATTTTTAAAACTTTTGATGATGTCTTTAACATAAAGAATGCATGCTGTTCCCTAAATTCCCAGCTTCTGCTAAACTGTTCGTTTATACATCACATTTCATATTGCTGAATCAACTTTTCTAGTTGCAGCCCATACAATGTTGAAGTTCTCTTGGTGACCCCACAAGATGGAAAAGTGACCGTGAAAGCCGATCTGATATTTGAAGAATATGGTAGGCTGTTTTGTCTTCACCCTTCTGGATGTATCAGCTTGGAATTGCGTTATTCCTAGAAAGTTTTCCAAAAGCAGGGTTTTAAAAATTGCCAATCTGGATCGTATCGCTTGATCCGAATATGGAATTGGAAGAACCGTACCGGTTCCCTTAATATATTGGAAACCGGCTGGTTCCAGAAAGAACCATCTGGTTCTCTGATAGAATCGGCTAGTTCTATCAGTGAACCAATCTGGTTCATGTAGTGAATTGGGTTCCCACCTTTTTTTTAACTTTCTTCAATTCAAATTTTTGAAATTTTTTTATTTTTAATAGAGGGGTGGTAGAGTGGTCCACCCCCTCTTTTAATTTTTGTGTCTTTTATTTCTATTTTTCAAATTGTTATTTATATTTTATAATTTGAAAAATACCCTTTGGATAGATGGTCCCCCAGTGCCCCATTCAATGGAGGGAGCCATCGACCTAGCCGCAGCCGTCCTTACTTTCACATGGCCCTTTTTATAGATCATTGCCTCCCCTCCCTTTCCTTTGGCCCTGATGCAAGACTTTCTTTGCCTCCCATTTAGCTCAAGTATAAAATAGCGACTAAGACTCGCAATGAAGCAAGGCCCTATAGACTTAAGTGTTTTTAAACTGTAAAAACCCGAAGTGGTTTTAACTTGTGACTAAGTGTTTTCTTTTTTTAAGTGACATAGGTTATAATTTATTTTTGAAACCCTCCCTTGGCATAAGGTTGTTTTTAAACTGTAAAAACCTGTATGGAAAAATAGAAAATGGGGAAGGTGTCTTTACTTGAAAATAAAAAATTAGAAACTGAAAAAAAATCTTCTATTAAGAATATTTGATAAAAAACAATTTGTGACTGAAAAATTGGAACCCTTTATTTTACAGTAGCCTTAATAATTTCAAATTCATAATAAAAATTCAAAATATTGAGAAAGTATCTCATTCCTTGATTTACTTGAAAATAGAAAATCAATAAAATTGAAAAATGGGTATTTGTGTTCTTCCTTGACACAAGGAGACCTTCTTTATAGGCCGCCATTGTTCCTTGGTGAGAGGCACAGAGCCTTATCAATTGTAAAATCCAAGTTCTAAAGAGGAAGTTATCTTCAATAGGAATTTTAATGTTTGAAAAACCTAAACCATTCAATGGGCAGCATACATTCAAACATGATACATTCAAACATTCACATATTTTTGCAAGATAATGAAAATTTATAATGCGCTACTCCCTCTTTTTCTTGAAAACTCAAAAAACATTATTTATAATGATTTTTAGTGACTTTTTGAATTTTTTTAAAGGCCAGATTCGGTCGATTCACCAATCTGGGTGATCCATCTCATTGATCAGTTCTTTTAAACATCATCCAAAATGGTAGACCATGAACCATTTGAACAAACAATCCTCCCATGTCAAAAGTGTCCAAATTAGAAAGAAATAACTAGTAAATGGCTAAAAGGAAAACATATTTCATAACCATTTTTTTAGATTGTTTTTTGAAATTGCAATTCTCTGTTTTTGGTTTGTGTTCTTCAGTTTTTACTTCTCCCTTTCATGATCTCATCTTTTATGCAGTGAGTTTAGATGTTCACGAAAAACTTATAGTTATGAAGGACAACTCCTCGAAATCGAATAGAAAACAGGCAAATGTGGAAGATGGATCCAATTGCTTTCAGCCCAAAGAAATTCATGTGATTGATGACGATGGAAATAACGACAAAATTCAATCATCAAATGACAAAGCATACAAAACAAGCAATGGGACTCGGTGCAACTCTTCTATGTAAGTTATGTTCTATTTTGATTCCTTCTTCTGATTATTATTGTGAGGACTAATTGGATTCCTATTATTTTGGGAGGAACTCTGTCAGACCCAACTTAAGGTCCAGGGAAGTAAACTTCTGTATGGAAATAATAAAAGCCCAAAACTAACATTTAATTGCAGTTGGAGCAAATACCTAAATTCTCTTATGAGGAAGAAGGATAAGAAAACATCATTTTATATTTGCACAAACACATATCTACCATAAGATTTCTGTTGCTAGGGGGACACACTCTCGCACATGATGTATTTGAACAAAAAACTTGTCTAGATTATTGAAGTCTTCAGATTTTCGTCGTAGACCGAAGTGACGCGAAGCTCCGGTGCATCCGCTTTGGCCTGCTTCGGGCCGCTTCGGTCTGATTCGGCCTCTTTAGCCAAAGCTTTGGCTTCTTCTGCCAAAGCACAATTGCCTCTTCTGCCAAAGCACAATTGCCTCTTAAAAAGACAATTCTGTGCTTCGGCCCACCTTCAGTCTGATTTGGCTGAAGCATAATTGTCTTTTTTATATATTAAAATTTTAAAAAATTCTGAAGTCTTCCTCTGAATTGGCCGAAGCACAGAATGGCTTCATTTTTCCAACCAAATGGAAAAAGGCTCAGAAGCAAATCTAACACCATTGGTTTAGATGGTAAGGAAATAATTAGCAGGAGCCTTCTCAGAATGATCAATGTAAAGCTGAATTACTGGCTAAAACATGGGTAGCTCTTCATTTTGATAAATCATTCAAAAATAAATTAAAGAAACAAAAGGCAGAGAGAGAGAGAGAGAGATAGCTGCTGCATGCCTGCTTCACTCACAGAGACGTACTGCTGTCCTTTTTGTTCTCCTACCAACACTTCCATTCTCTAATTACATGTATCATCTGTAAGTATTCCATAATTACAAGCTGGTTGAATCTAATAGCTTGATATGTTAAAAAAAAAAAAGAAGAAAGAAAGGGCTTGATGTGTTAAGACTAAAGCCCAGCAATTTCTGGCCTGGAGACTTTCTAATTGAATCCCACACTAGATGCTCGCTGTAGAGTTTGCCAGTGTGCTTACTCTCCACTGTCCATTTTTTATTAGTATTCTAATGGTAACTCTGCAGCTAAAGGGTTTAAAGAACCTGAATTCGGTATCATACCTGACCACTTTTAACTGTTTCAAACAACAGGCCTAGCTTTGACCTCCTGCATGAAGATGCACATGGAGGTATTTAAATTTTCTTCATAAATATCTTTTGAGATCTTTTGAGACATTTGTACTTGCTTTCTTGTATCGTATCCATGCTTCATATGTCCATGTTAATTTTTGGCTGTGTATTACCTATATTTTCTTTCTTCCGTTCACAATTCTTTCAAGGTTCTGAACTTCTTGAGATAGGAGAAGACTGCAGCAACACCATTACAGAAAATTCAGTATTCGACCACATCCGCAAGAAGTCCAGGACTTTTCCTCCTGTCCAGTCATTGACGAACATGAATTCTTTTACACCCAATAACCCCTCAAGGGCAAAACATTCCTCCACTTTCTCTCTTTGTATTTCACCCGGAAGAAATGTGGGCGAGGCTCAGAGAGAGAATGTGGAATTGTCCCAAACATTAAAGGGACTACATGAGGCTGGACTCCACAGGGAGAATGTGGTATCACACCAAATATGGAATGCACACAATGGGGGTGAAATCCAGAGAGAGAATGTGGGATCTTCTCAGTTTTCAAAAAAACTCAATGAGAATGAAACAAAGAGAGAGATAGTGGGATCATTTGATTGGGAGGTGACAGAACTCCCTGACTTTGATGAAACTTTCGTGGTTGAGATGGAAGAATTTAGTTATGATCGAGGTGAAAGTATGGTAGCCAATGATTACATTCTCTCTCACAAGGCAGAATCATGCCATGAAGATTTGAGTATTGTTATTAATTCATCAGAAAAGGCAGACGTGTTTGAGTTCCATGGAACTATTAACAAGAAGATTTTCGAAGTTGATGCTTCACAATCTGAACGATTCTCTCTGAATGGGTCCCAATCTGTCAGGGGTTCACAAATAGTAGGGATTGGGGAAGTGTCTTTTCTTGGGTGTAAGAGTGTTTTCTCATTCCTCTGAGTGTTGCATGTAAGAAGTTTGGGGTTTTTGTGGAGGTCATCGAACGATTAACAAGGAGAGTTTTGAAGTTGATGGCCACGATCTGAACGATTCTTCTTTGAATGGGTTCCAATCTATCGGGGTTTGGGGAAGTGTCTTTTCTTGGGTGTAAGTGTGTTTTCTAACAAGTTTGGGGTTTTGTGGAGGTCATGGTGGTGTTTTGAGTGTTGCTGCCTTGTGATTGACTGTGAAATGGATTACTGAGCAGCAAGGAAAATGTGGGGGGAACATTAAAGGCTTCTCTTGTGTCAACTTTTATCCAATAATAATAATAATAATAATAATAAACATTAAAGGCTTTTCACTTCGGACTGCAAATTAACCAGTTTTCTGCACGCAAAAATATTCCCCTCCATTACTTCTTTAATATAGAGTCTGTAACAATAGGACTATTTCTTTAATATAAAGTTACAAGAAAATATACAATAAGTCTGTTTATCTCTTGTTCAAATAAGTCACAATCAAGTGTTACTGTCGGTTGTTTCAAATGTGAAATTGAGTGGTTGAAGGTGTATCATTGATTGCTCTTGATTAAAAATAACCATATGTACATACGAAGGGTTTGGGTGTCTATGACCTTTGTGTACAATCCTTAAAAGATAGTTTCCCTTGTGCTAACAAATCATTCAACAAAAAAAAATGAAATGAGAAATATTCACGCAGATAATTTAACACCAAATAAGAAAAAGATAGAGAGAAGGCTGTGATTATTTTTTGGGATTGTCTACAAAGAGACTATTTATCTTTTATGTATGAAGGTCAATTATTTGTCTTTTAAATTTCAAAATAGGTTGTTCTAAGAGTGTCAATTAAATAGACACAGTTCCAAAAAAAAATTCTTGAACTTCGTGACTCATTTCAAGCCATCTAATTTAATATATATTAAGTGAGAAGAATTGTAACTTTCATGTACAAAAGATAAATAATCTTGTTAATATTGAAAAATGTTCTCTCAGCCATTGTTATCTCTCCAAGCAACATCCCATCCTAATTCTCGTTGGTATCTTGCGCAACCATTCACAAATTATTTCTGCATATGAATAGGCAATGGGGACGTATCACACAGAGTGTCATAACCCTTTATATTGTGGGAAGTTAATTAACTCGTTAGTTTACTGATATACATGTGGTCGATGTACGAAATGTGAATGTTGTCTATACAACTTTTAGATGAAAAAATTATTGACCGATAGCAAGTCTTATGCCAATGAGTCAACTTCCACGTTCTTCTCCCTAAAGACACGAGTAAATTGAACCTTTACATCAGCATTACGGCCACATATTCATTCAGAGATCGATGCTCCAATTGATTGCATAGATCGGATCACCCCCTAAATGAGTCTTTAGCCAGGCATTTGAGCAGTGTTTGAGCTTCCACTTCGTTAGTGATACAAGGGGCGAATGGGTTTAGCTAAGCTGGTATGTATCATTCGACATGGTCTTTGACAGGAATTGTGCTTTGCTTGGGTTTTGAGTGGTTAGCATGCTACATCTCAAATTCAATTTCAGTTATTGAACAACCCAAAAAAGAAAAAAAATAATGTTCTATAGCCACTCCTGTCCTATCCTAGTAAAGCCTAGGTTTCCTTGGGAACTAAAAAATATGATCTATGACCCTCTAAATGTTAGCTTGTTTCGTTTTTTCTGCAGTGTCTACATTGCCGTTATGAGAGAGATTCTCCGGACCGTGTCCTACCATAGGCAGGGGCGGCAAGGGCCGCTAGGTGACAGAGCACTCAACCATTTTTAGGATTCCACTCATCATCATCATCATACCTTTTTTTTCAATTAATTGGAGTCGGGTACATGAATCTTAATCTTCCATTCTACTCTATTAAAGGCCATAATCTCGATGAGGTCATTAGTCCCCATATCTTTTCAGACTACTTCTAACCATGTCCTTTTGGACTTATCCCTTGTTTTTTCCAATCTTTTTACTTGAACTAACGCGTACCTCCTAACAATTGTTGTATATGGTCGGCACCACATATGGCCAACCCACCTAAGTCTACTCTCTTTCATCTTATCACCTATTGATGTCACACCTAAATTCTCCCGAATAGATTCATTTTGAATTCTATCTAGTCTTGTCTTGCCATTCATCCATCTCAACATCCGCATCTCCAATATTTTTGAGATTCCACTTCAAGTAAAAAATTCGCAAAGACCTTAACCTCAAGACAATGAGCAAAATAGGCATAAATGATTCATTGTTTCTTCTGCCTCTTTGCACATCAAACAAACATTAAAAATTGTCATACTTTTATGTCTTAGTCGATAAAGAAATTTGGCCAAAGATGCTAACCAGGTGAAAATTTAGATTAATAGAGGGTTAAAAATTTCCATAAAAGATGCAGCCACCAAAGAGAATTCTTGATGAATTGATTTTGAATTTAGGGGAAGCTAACAAGCCTAGATACATTGGTTCTAAGGAAAATTACAAAAAATACTCTATAATGGATTATCTATGCAACTTCCCCCCACCCCAATCTTTTCTCTCATTTTTTTCCCTCAAACAACCTTTCCTCGCAAATAACCCCCCGACCCAAAACTAGCATGAAATAAGACTAAACTACCCTCGTTTGTTTTCACACCGCCTTCTCTCTCCTATTTCCCACTTTTTTATTTATCCACACCAGTTTCACACTGCGCTCCGGTAGAGGATCTCGTTCCGACAATATAAACAAGCGCTCCAACAATCTTGACATTACCGTCTGGCAATGCAGGCTCTGGCATTATGACAATGCACTCCGGCAGTACAATGATGTGCTTCAGCAGTACTGCCTCTGGAGCCGAACGCTCCGACAGTGTAAAGATGGCTCCGGCATTGTGTTCTTGACATTCCCTTCTGGCAGTAGTATATTGCGCTCTGGCACTATAGGACCCGCGAATTGATTTGGTTTGTATGGAAATGACATTTCCGTGCAAAAAATAACAACTTTTTACCTTGGGGGGTTTTTGTGAGGAAAGGTTGTTTTGAAAAAAAAAGTAAGAGAACAGATTGGGGTGGGGGTAAGTTGCAAAGATAGTCTATTTTAGGGTGTTTTTTATAATTTTCCTTGGTTCTATAGGCCTAATCACATGTGAAGGTGAGTAACGAAGCCCACTATGTTCCGGATGGTGCTCCTTCCTAGGAAAAAAGGGAATGTGATCAGATTTGAGGGTATAACTAGATCTATAAAATTTTTATTTTAAGAGATCAAAGGGTGTAAGATCTCAATTGTTGATTAAGATCTGAGAGTCTCAATTGTTGATTAAGATCTGAGAGTGTAACCGGATCTTAACTACATTAGAGAATGTTTTTACAAGTATCAAATATGGAGACATATGGACTCCAAATCACCACAGACAAGTTTGATAGAACCAATTGTCTAGAATGGGTTAGGTCAGATAGACTATTTTTGGGCAGAAAGAAAAAACTGGGATACTGTTAAAATTGTTAAAGTGTATTTTCTAGAAAATATATTAGTTTTTATGTTATTTTATCATGAGTGATGTAGTAAGGTTGCACTTGTAAGTTTATCTAATAAGAAGTTGTAAAACTACTAGGTGGTTAGTAGTTGTTGTTACAAGTAGGTAGTTATTATAGGAAATATGGTTATAAAAACCTCTATTTAAAAAGAGGTGTGTGGTGAGAAAATCAGGACACATGTTTAAGGTTAATCTTGGGTGTCAAGATCGTAATGCCTTTGTGTACCCCGGGGTCATATGTGTTAAGGTTAATCTTGTGTGTTGAGATTGTAATGCCTTTATGTACCCCGGGGTCACATATGTTAAGGTTAATCTTGTGTGTTGAGATTGTAATGCTTTTATATACCCCATTTTTATTGTAATGAAGTTTTTTTTCCATTTCAGCTCGGTTCTTCTTCTTTTTTCTATTTGGTTGAGTTTTGGGCTAGTGTGACAATGTTAGACTAATTGAGAAGCCGATTATTCTAGTGTTGTGGCATCCATCTTTCTCTACATGGTATCAGTGCCACAAGAGTGGTGGTGATGTTGTCTTGACTCCCTTGGTGAAAAAGATCAATTGTTTTTTTGAGGATGTGTTCGATGGAAGGTATAATGGTTTTAATGTTGAGTTGGGAACTTAACTCGAGGTTAAAACCATTGATGTGGAAGAACCTATTTGGAGGAACAAATGAAGTGGCTTATCATTTGTGGGTTAAAGAGGGAGTATATTTCCAATGCTACCTCTATTCAAGGGTGGACTATGCAGCCCTACTTGGTGGAATTTGAGAATCTCTTTGGTGGCATGTTAAACGGTTGGATTTTTAATTTTGGGAAATGATAGAGATGATCGCATATGCATGGTCTCCTTTCTCAAAAATCATTTTAAGATGGAGTGTTAAAATTGTTGAAGTATATTTTCTAGAAAGTATATTAGTTTTTATGTTATTTTATCATGAGTAATATAGTAAGGTTACAGTTGTAAGTTTGTGTAGTAGGAAGTCATAAAACTACTAGGTGGTTAGTAGTTATTGTTACAAGTGAGTAATTATTGTAGGAAATATGGTTATAAAAACTTCCATTTAAAGAGAGGTATGTAGTGAGGAAATCGGGACATATGTTTAAGGTTAATCTTGAGTGTTAAGATTGTAATTCCTTTGTGTACCCTGGGGTCACATGTGTTAAGGTTAATCTTGTGTGTTGAGATTGTAATGCCTTGTATACCCTATGTTTTTCTTTAATGAAGTTTTTCTTCCACTTCGTCTTGGTTAGTCTTCTTCTTTCTATTTGGTTAAGTCTTGGGCTAGTGTGACAATGTTACACTAATTGAGAAGCGGATTGTTCCGGTGTTGTGGCATTTGTCTTTCTCTACAGCATTGATGGCCGTGTGGAAAAACTTGATCCGAAGGATGCTAAATATGCAGACTGGGAGGGTGATATGGCTATTCTGAATTGGATACTATTTTCTATACAGCCTAATATGAGTAGATCCCTTATGAACTGCAATACCTATGAGGAATTATGTTTGATCTAAATGTATAGCCTGGTTTGTTTACTGTCGTCCCGCCTTGCAACTATTTTTAACTATTTTTTTTTTTCCCCAAAAAATTATAGATTCTCCCAATTCGTCTTTTTTGGGCACCCTTCCCCCACCCCACAAAAAAAATAATAATTTTGATACCATACTACTAACCCCAATACTATTTGTTTTGCACTTAGCCCCAAGTAAAAAAGTTTTACTATTTTAACCAAATTACCTCATTTAATCCACATTTCCAAATATGATGCCCAACATGTGCCTGTCTGGCACAAAATATGCCAGACCGGCTTATAACCAAAAGTGCATCTAATATTAAATTCTACTGCATCGGCACAAAATGCCTCAGACCGGCTGAAATTGTATTGATCCGACACAAAAGTGCCTGACCAGATTCTACATTACTGTTCCAACGTATTTTGTGCTGGACCGGCGTTAGGAGAAAAATTGAGAAATATGTGTTATTTATTTATTTTTATTTTTTTTTGGAGGGGAATGCCAAAAAAGTCCAATCTGCTGGTTTAATGTGTGATCGTCCAACTACTTATCCTTGATGACATGGCTATATCAGGTGATTATGGACCTTCAAGTGCTAATATTTCTCCATAGGCGAGAGGTAGGATTCCTTGGCTGGCTGCTTTTGATGGGTCGTAGCACTACCGTCGTTTTTAAGCAAATCGCGTGGTAGATGCAAAATCGGCAAGTCTATGTTTGAAACACAATTTTTAAAAAAATATCCGATTTTTTAAAACAATTTTTCTAAAAAGTCGGAAACATAATTTTTTTAAAAAATATCCTCTTTTTTAAATCCGTTAAGCACTATGAGATTTTCAAAAGATTTTAAAAAAGTCTCGATTTTTTAATAAAACCGATATGAATCCGTGTTTTATCTTTTTCCAAAAAAAACTTTTTTCGCATAACTTTAGTTCGTCATTAACTTAATATTATTAAAATTTGATATAAAGATAAGTACATTGACAGTGGGATTAATTAAGAATATTAATTTAACAAAAAATACATCAAAATTTTCACCAATGAGTTCCCTTAAAAAAAAGTGTAAAAAAAATACAAGTAATATATTTCCCAAGTAATAAAAGCAATCATATATCTTAAAGGGATTGTATACAATGAGACCATTTACCTTTTGAACAGGGAGGTCACAATTACTTACAACCATCCGATGTGAAATCTGATAGCTTGGATGTGTCGTAAAGTTCGAGATAGTTTATTTTAAACTTTGATCTTAGTCAATGAAATAAATGCAGTTATTTAATTTTACATCCAATAGTCAAGATTAATTGTTACCACCTTGTAGAAAAAGTAA